TTCTTAAGTCTACTATCATCTTTCAATATTGCTCCAATAGTATTTCCAATCAAATAATCATCAAGATTTTGGGTCACTATCCTATTCTAAAATTTTTTTATTGTTAACACATTTAGAACTTCAATGTCAGTTCTAGTTAACCACTAAAGAGTAAAGACTAGAGAATAATCAAATTGAAATCTAGTTTCCAATAACAAAATCACGGAGACTACCAGCAATACCAAACTTAAATCTGAAAAAAAAAAAGACTGAATTTCATCAGGCGGTCCAAAATTCAGTCATCAAGCAAGCAAGCACGCACGTAACGAAATCACAGAGACTACCATCATAAACAAAATCTAAGGTTTTGCCCTTGACATTCTACACAGGTGCAGCAATAACAAAAGGATTAAACATATTCAAGCCTAATAACGTTCTTACTAGGAATGAACTCGAACTAGCATGTGTCCCCAAAGGCTAATCCACTTGCTTCATGTAATTTTGACCAGCCGGTGGTCATTTCAAGCGGAAAACATCCTCTCTGGCAGCACAACGCAACAGGCCAATAACGACCTTGTGGATCTTCCAACACCACAGCTTTTTTGTAAGCTAATCCAGTCTCAGTCGTAAATTCCTTATAAAGGGTCTAAAATTAAGAGGACGAGAAAATGTAAGATCCAAAAGCTTTCTAAACAAAAATGTGGCCAAAAGATTATGAGGTCCAATCAGTGAGTTATTCGTACTAGTCTATATCGATGATGTTCCTTCAGAGTTACACAGAATTGTGGGTTCGTTGTTTAGGCAGAATCTTCGGGTTTATGATCGCAAATGGGCCTGTTTCCATGAACCAAAAACCAATAACTATGCTTTACTCATATTAAACAATCATGCACATAGTTATACATATAAAAAGCAATGAAGAAAACAAACTGCGGGTAGAACGTTGAAGGGGCACTTCTACAGGTTCAGAGTCATCAGTCTGCTTTCCCAATATTCAAATTCCATTTCACAGGCACTTAATCCATATGGTACGACATTAACGATTGAGTTATCAACAAGCCGAAATACTAGAAATGTCCCCATTTTGAGGTCAAGATCTTCAACAAATTTGACCTACCTTGGGTGAAATAAAGAACCCCCTCGTCTTGTTCTAATTTCACATTCCACGATTTTCCACTATTGATCTTGAGGGTGACATTTTCAAGCAATATTTCGCCATGATTCTTCACAAATCGAGGCGGCAATGGCTACACATACAGCAAATTCAACAGGAATTCATTTTTACGTGCATGAGACTTCAATATTCACTACTTACAATCTAGTAATAGATCATATTACACTTAAATGTGTTGCGCGATGTTTGCCAATTCAATCTTTCAGTTATAATTCGTCTAAATGGAAGGTATCTATGTCAATATTTTGGGTATTATTTACGTAATTATATAGTATCAGTAATGGGTTAATTTCACAAATGATCACTGAAGTTACATAAAAATTACAAAACGGTCATTGAAGTTTAAAACGGTTTCAGAAATGGTCATTGAAGTTAGATTTAGGGCTTTTATGTTTTAATTGAAATCTAAAGCACCAAAATATGGTCATTTAAAAGATGGAAGACCTCAAGTGCAAATTAGGTCCTTCAATTGATTGGGAAATTGGAACTGAAGTCGATCTGCCATGGGAAATTGGAACCGAATACGATCTGCCATGCAAAATTCATCCTTGTTCGTTCTAAATTGACCAAGACCCATATGTTCGGTGGATTTTCCATGGTGGGGCATTGCTAGGCGTGGTGCTCCGCCACTATGAGTTGCGATGCCGTAGCCGAAAATCGTGGTTGAAAGGACCGACTGCACTGTGGAGGAAAAATCTGTCATGCGAAATTCATCCTTGTTCATTCAAAATTGGCCAAGACTCATATATTCGATGGATGCGCCATGGTGGGACAGTGCAAGGGATGGTGGTCCGCGGCCATGAGTTGCAACGCCAACGCCAGAATTCGCGGTTGAAATGGTCGAAATCGCTGTGGTGGAAAAATTCTGCATATCTATGGATTTCCTGATTTGGTTGATGTTATAAAGGCATGTGTAAGTACGTAATAAGGAGGTTGTTCGACCTGTGGGGTGGGTATGACATAGGTGTCACCGGAAGTTGATTTTCCAACCAGTTTTCGGTGCTTGTTCATCTGGTTTTGGATGAAATTTTCGGCCATATCTGTTGGAGTTGGGGCTAGTGGTTGGGTGGGTTGTGAAGAGGGAGATGAGGGCTTTAAGGTGGTATGTTGGTCCGACATCCAAGGTTACCAGAGGTTGGTTTTTGGTGGTCCAAATGTGGCGATGAATGTTGTCAATTTGGATTATAGTCCGTGGGCAGCCCACTTTGGTGCTATTTTTCGATCAATTTCGACGGGATTACGGCCAGTGGTTTGATGGGTTGCGAAGAGAAAATTGAGGGCTTCAAGACGGTGTGTTGATCGGTGGCCAAGGTGGCCAGAGGTTGGAGTTATGGTCGTCCAAAAGAGGGTGGTTGAGAAAATTTGGAGGAGGGAATGGTTTAGGGTGCGTGGGCAACCCACTTTGGTGCTATTTTTCTGCCAATTCCGACGGGATTACGACCAGTGGTTGGGTGGGTTGTGAAGAGAACATTGAGGGCTTCAAGACGATATGTTGGTCAATGGCTAAGGTGGCTAGAGGTTGGAGTTATGGTGGTCCAAATTTTGAGAGAATTTGGAGGAGTGAATGGTTTTGGGTGCGTGGGCAGCCCACTTTGGTACGATTTTTCGACCAATTTCGACGGGATTACGACCAGTGGTTGGGTGATTTGTGAAGAGGACATTGAGGGCTTCAAGACGATATGTTGGTCGGTGGCCAGAGGTTGGAGTTATGGTGGTCTAAAGGCTGAGAGGATTTGGAAGAGTGAATGGTTTTGAGTTTTATATGAATTTTGCATGTGAGGTCCTCCAGTTTTTAAGTGACCGTGTTTTTGTGCTTTAGGTTTCAATTAAAATATAAAAGTCCTAAAACTAACTTCAGTGACCATTTTTGAAACTGAGTGAAAGTTGAGTGACCATTTATGTAAGTTTGAAATTTCAGTGACCGTTTTGTTATTTTCATGTATCTTCAGTGACCATTTGTGAAATTAACCCTGGAAGATAAGAACGTGTAGAAGTGATTCAGAGCCAAGAAAGAAGGTTTGGCATGTTCAAAGGTGCGGAAAGTCAAAATGGAATCCGCGCCATGACAGTTCACAATATCGAAGACAAAATCCAACCGTAGATCAGAGGCGGCTGAAATATAGTCAAAATTATACAGTCCACGCGCTTCTTCTCCTTTCCTTCCTCCCTCTTGCCTGGCAGCTCCCTCAATTTTGGCGTATATATATACGAATTCAAACTTTTGTTCATACAAGCTGATAATTATACAGCGTTTGTTACATTTACAGTATTCGAATTAATACGTACAAAATTGTGATTATACATGGCTGACCAGTACCAAGATTTTCCGGCGGTTGCAACCCACGGAGGGCAATTTATACAGTATAATATTTTTGGGAACTGCTTTGAGATCACCACCAAGTATCGGCATCCGATCATGCCTATTGGGCGTGGGGCTTATGGAATCGTTTGGTAAGTAATTTTTGGAATTTATTTAATTTTAGTATCTGATCACCTTTCGATTATCTCTGACTGATTGCAATATTTGTTTGCATATTGAAGCTCGGTTTTGAACTCGGAGAATAATGAGATGGTGGCAATTAAGAAAATTGCGAATGCTTTCGATAATTATATGGACGCAAAGCGGACCCTTCGTGAAATCAAACTTCTTCGCCACCTGGATCACGATAATGTTAGTATTTCTCTCCACTAGTTACTGGATTAATTTATCGCTGTTCGTTTTTACATGAACTTAGAGCCTCAGAGACTCAGAATTGAAGTTTTTATTTAAATTTTGTTTGTATTTCGACAAATTTTGATGCAATAGGCCGAACTACAGCTGCAAAAATGCCTCTTTGAATTTTTAATTTCTTTTGATTCAGCGTTACTCTAATCTCGCAATAATCAATTAATCCGTACGGAAGCCTCAAAATTTGCTCCTGATTTCTTCCTTATGGAAGTATGTAATTATACATTAGATATGTAATTATACATTAGACGCATTGTCACTCGGTTATACATGTTAGAGATAAATCTCACGTCGAATAAAGATGAAAATATAGACCAATTTATAAAATGATTGGAATATTGACAATTTACTGGATAAACATGGTGATCAGTTGTTGATACACCCACTATTCTTATGCAGTAGTGCATAGGCCTCTGCATATAAATTTTTCTCATATATCTGATGTTATCCTTGAATATTGAGTATCTTTAAGACATCCAGTATAAAATTGAAGTACTAAAAATGCTTTCCAACAAAAAGGATGTCACTTCGAATTCTGAAACGCAGAATAATATCTAGTGCTAAGAAAGTTCTTCCATGATAGAAAATCATATCCCTTTATCTTCAAAGTTCAAAAGTATCATCAAAATGAAAAAGTAAGAATTTTCTGTTGTCTGGTAAGATATTCTTTTATGCAAAGGTACTTAGTTCAAAAAATGGTTACAGGTTGTTGCTATACGCGATGTGATTCCTCCTCCTTTACGGAGGGAATTCAGTGATGTCTATATTGCTACAGAACTCATGGACACTGATCTTCATCAAATAATTCGATCTAATCAGAATTTATCAGAAGAACATTCTCAAGTAACACTTTCTTTTCAAATTTCATTTTTCTTTAGCAAAAGTTACAAGCAAGCACTAACATTTGCTTTATAATTGGACTATTTCCAGTATTTTTTGTATCAGATACTTCGAGGGTTAAAGTACATACATTCTGCTAATGTGATCCATAGAGATTTGAAGCCCAGTAATCTACTGTTGAATGCTAATTGTGATCTTAAGATTTGTGATTTTGGTCTTGCCCGACCTACCGCAGAGAATGAGTTCATGACAGAGTACGTTGTGACCAGGTGGTACAGGGCACCTGAACTGTTGTTGAATTCCTCAGAGTACACTGCGGCCATAGACGTGTGGTCAGTTGGTTGCATTTTTATGGAGCTTATGAACAGAAAGCCTTTGTTTGCTGGAAATGATCACGTGCATCAAATGCACCTATTGATAGAGGTGAGACTCGATGTGAAAATTTCAAGCTAGCATATCAAGGCTTCAATTATAAATAATGAACTAGAAACATAGCTATTTAAGGGAATTCTAATATAATGTCCCTCCCTGTGGAAAATCTGCTCTCTTTTCCGTTAATTACATATTAGTATCAGGACTATTGATGTGTATTTAAAATTATAGCCAACCTCTTGCATTGATAACTAATTGAGATAAGTACTCACATCAAATTTTCCACATGATTAACGAGTTACTGGCAATTACTTATGTTTGGTAACATATTTTTGTAGCTTCTGGGAACACCTACTGACGCTGACCTTGAATTCACCCGAAATGAGGATGCAAGAAAATACATCCGGCAACTTCCTCGACATCCTCGTCAGCCTTTAGCAAAGGTCTTCCCACATGTAAATCCATTGGCCATTGACCTAATCGATAAAATGCTGACAATCAATCCCAGGAAGAGAATTACAGGTAACTTTTTTTGCTTTTCTTGATTATTTTGTTTCATACGTGTGCAATTTGCTGATATCATAACCAATGAAGAAAAATTCTCTTGATTCAAATGAATTTGCTTGTCTAGTTCAGACAACAAAATTAGGTGATAAGATTTCTTACAACGTGAATTACTATATCCCTTTTCAATTCAAATATAGTTACTAAAACTGTTTGTGAGGTGGTGTGTTTTAATCGGTATATAATGTGATTGATTTTCAAAATACTTCTCTGTAAGTGAACTACTTCTTACCTTAAAGTCAGTAATCTGATCTTTTGCTGCTTTCTTCCAGTCTTCCAACAACTTTACTACATAGTCACAATGCATAACACTGACAAAAGAAAAAAAAATTATGAACTCGACCATACTGTGTACTTGACTTACCCAAAGAAAGACTCGATGATATACGTTATTAAATTTTTGTTCATTGTGAGATTATCTTGATTGTTTCTCAAATAGGTAATTTGTCTTTTCGTGCAGTGGAAGAAGCTTTGGAGCATCCTTATCTTGCAAAATTACATGATATAGCTGATGAGCCAGTATGCCCCGAGCCATTCTCCTTCGATTTTGAGAAGCAAATCTTGTCTGAAGAGCAAATTAAGGAAATGATTTACCAGGAGGCCTTGACATTAAACCCTGAGTACGCATAGTCACTAGAGCATATGATTAGGACATGATTCCGATTCAACGATTTTAACTGATATAGCAGACTAAAGCTACACTTCAGAATATAAGTTGCTGATGAACCAGTAAAGTAGTTTATTTGATCTCTCTGGATCGCTGATTTCAACTTTCTATTCAGAATAGGCAGGTTTTGTGAGAGGTACTGTGTTCAATAAATATAGTTGCTCTTATCTCGAGAGCTTGAAACAATTTTTTATTATTTTATAATTTTGTTGTCATGATAAAATGTATCGTGTAGAGATGCTTTATACTCTGTGTAATTCCGACATGTAACTTCTATTCCAGAAAAATGCCATTGAATCGATATACATATTGAAGTGTGTGATACTTTTTCTATCTCAGACATCTTTGTCCCAAAATATGGTATTAAATAGTGATTGAACAAAGAATATAGCAGTTTTAATGTTTTTGAGTAAAAGATAGTACCAACGAGTTTTCCTTCTTTGACTAGTAGTTAATGGATTTGATGTAGCACCTTAAACTTAACGGGAGCAAGAACTAATTTATTAATTTTGGACAGATGCAAGAAAATATTACTTTGCAGAGTTGCACTTGGGGTATCTTCGACGTATTTCAAAAGAAAAGAATGTGAAAAAGAAACTTACATTTGTTCATTGGGCAATTACTGTCTTGGAAGTTCAGTGTATTAGGGATGCATTTAATAGACTAGAATAGATAGAGATTAAGAAGACCATAGTTCGAAGGAGACTCAAACTAGTTATTAGATAAAAGAGGGATCTAAGTGCTTGCCCAATTGACCACTGCAGCTAAGTAAGCGAACCACTCTACTTGAAAAGTAAATGCTTAAGCTTGAATGAGAAGGGCTTCCTTGCTTATTAACTTGAACTACTGACCTTTAGAACGAACCTATATGACAATGTCATGATCATACTGGTTTACCTTTTTGTTTATTGGTAGTTTAACTGATGGTATAACCTAAGAGGGACTTCTCGAATAAGAATTCATACCCGAACTATGAGATCTAACTTGCCTGAGGTAGCATTGTGGCATAAATAGCAAGTCCATACCGATTTTAGTTTATCTTCTCATTCGAAGGTGGCTCTAGGAAAACCAAGCACCATGGTTTGCCAGAAGGATAAGGCAAGGATTACTTCGAAGAAGTAATGCTTTCTTCTTTCAAATGGATTTATTTCATTTTAATGTGATTTCTGGATTATTATATAATGATTTTTGAACTGTCCATATATTAGAAAAGAAATTGAAATAGATAGATTAATAATATCCGTTATATCAATGACAACAAAGGGATTACACTATGTATGTATGGTATGACCTGCCCAAACAAGAATTTTTGAACAACGAACAACCAATTCAAATATTCACAACCAAGAAGTACTGGATTTTCTTTCGGATGAATCCTGGTAAGGAAGGTTGAAATGTCAACAAGCGTCAATTATTTAATTCACTCGACTCGACAATACCCATTTTGGGAACGTCTAGCCCCAGGCATTGAATAGGTAAGTCTTGAAACTCTGGACTGTGATGCCCGACCTTGTACACCCCTTTCTCATTATAGCCCAAACTCAAGCTCAATAGTTGTATTCTGCCACCCTTTGCCCTTTTCTCCCCAATATGTACAGAAGCCGGTCTTTTGTAATTGACTATCAAAATGAAAAGTTCCTAGCATCTCGGTTTGATCCAGAGATCCCGGCTCGAGAACAGCTGAATATGCTTTTCATTCGCCACTGACATCAAGAGCTATGCAGATTTTCAATAATCACTGATTTTTTGAAGTTAGAATTTGACGAATCACACACTTTTAAAAAGTACTATCTATCTACTTTCATATGGGAAAAAATGGAAGAAGATTTTTCGAACCCACACCCGTGCTTTGAGTTACGAAGATTTTTTGGAACTGCACGAAAGTTGTGCACATGTTCAATAATCATCGACTTTTTGAAGTCGCTAGAATTTGACAAAGCATACACCACAGAAGGCTAATAATTTCTTATTATAGGATTTAGCTGGCTTTGTCAATAAATTAGTGTTGATTTATTACCTGACAAAATTATATTCATCACCTACTTCACTATTTGAGTATCTGAAGACAATATAGACAAAACAAATAAAAATAAAAAGCAATTTAAATGTATCAAATATTCAGATTCTTCTTCATTTGAAAATACATAGAGCCTCAAGCAACCTATCATTTTCTGTACATCACAGGTCAAGTCTGCAAGTGGATTGAAGGGCACATTCATTTAAGGCATAATTTGGATAATGGGACTCATCCACACGTTTGTCAGGTTTCCTTTTTGATAATTGTATTTTCTACACTTATTCGGTGCTTGAAATTATAGAATTTTATTGTTCTTTCGACAAAATATGACATAAATTGTCACATTGTATCTTATAGATAAAACTCGATATTTGATGAATAATTGGAGAAAATAAGCAAAATGTAGCTAAAAATGANAAATAAACAAAATGTAGCGAAAATTGTCGAAATCCAAAGTGTGAGGGATAAATTGCAAATACTTAATGGTTCGTTCGGACTTCAAGAAGATACTTTGAAAATTGTTAGGAGACAATTTGATAGAATTAGAATTCAAAAATGAATGAAATATGATCAAAATATTATTAAAGTCAATTTTCAATCGCACAAGATATATTCCAGATTTTTAGCCGAAAATTGAGACTCATGTTTGACATAATAAACTTCCGAATTGGAAAAACTCTATTTCTAGCAAAGTTATAGTAGATCTTTGAGTTATCTTTCCGGCGCACTTTGAATCGTCTCAATCAGATATCAGGAGAGAAAGTTATGACTAAAATACGGATTGCTGTGCAGAGACAAAAAAATATGCGCGCGATTATGACTAAAATACAGACTGCTGTGCAGAGAAAAAAATATGCGCGTGAAGACAACTTTCCTTATTCGATTAGAACTCTTTTGAAAATCAATTTGGTCGTAATTTTCAACCAGTTTTCGACTCCTAAAAATAGAGAATAACATAATACATATGGAGAACCTCTATAAACCTAAAAATCTCTATATTATACATATTTTGGAGGCGAGGAACATGGCTAACAACGAGGAATCAAGGCGAATTGTATAGGATATTGAAAATTCTTCATTCGGATTCAAGATTCATATCAAGAGCGT